CAGTGAGGATGACCACAGTGAGGATGATCTCAGTGAGGATGACCTCAGGTCTCCCCATCCCCGTGCACAGAGATGCTGCAGTCTCTGCCCGTCTCCTCTGGTGCCAACACCTCCAGATGTTCAACCAGCTGTGATGTGCCATTATCACCTCTCTTGCCTCTGCTGTGTCACCACTCTTCTTTCACACACCTCCCCTGGGGAAAGGACACATTGTCCCCTGTCACTGGCTCCACCAACACGGGTTGAGGAGTTGCCTCTTCTCTTCTTCTCTGGCTGTTTGTCCCAAGGGCTGAGCCCGCTGCCAGGGCTGCCAGGGGGGAGGATGGTGTTTCAGCCCTCTGACAGAGGAAAAGGGGCTGTGGCACAGAGGAAAAGAGGGATTGGAGGCTTCTCAGTGACATACAAATGGTGTAATGAGGACACTGTGAATGAGGAAACATCTTTCATCAGGAAAACAATTCCAGATGATGTAACTTCCAGCTCTTGCCAAGGGGCCGAGCAGAGTCCCAGAGCTCCTCAGCTGGCACAAGGACCAAGACAGCTCTCCTGGCCACTCCCAGGCAGTGTGGGACAGGTAACACCAGGGTGAGGAAAGCCAGAACTGATGCTAATGCTGTCCCATGAGGGCTGACCCAGCCCCAGAGCCCGGGCTGGGACCCAGCTCCTGCCTGGGGACAGCAGCAACCCCCAGGCTGGACTTCTGGGGGCTGGTGATGGGTCACTGCAGTGACACTGAACCTCCTGGCTGAGCCCTCCTGGGGCCAGACACAGACCTGGGGAGGTACAGCCTCTGCCTGGGAACCAGCAGTCTCGGGATACACTGACATCCAGTCACTGCTTTTCCAGTGGGACACAGTCTCAGGTGTCCCGGGGCCGTGTCACAGGTACGTGACCTCGATGACGTTGGGCTCAGCGCTCCCGCCGGGAAGGTGGTGCTTGCAGGAGCACTGGCAGCTCCCTCCAGCCGGATCCATGCCAGGCAGATCCCACCTCCTCTGGGGGTCCAGCTGCTTCCAGCGCGTGAGGTGCACCCCGTCGTGCAGGTCCTGCGGCAGGGGCTCGTGGTACAGGGTGATCTGCACGGTGCGGAGCTGGGGCCCGTAGTGCACCACGAGGATGATGAACACGGCCAGGAGCACGAAGACCACCACGATGACCGAGATCATGGGCAGCGCGTCCGCCTTCTTCGTCACGGCCCTGGCGACCGACACGGGAGTGACGGCGGCCACGTCCTGCGGCTCGGGCTGTCTCAGCTGGCTGCCAGGCACGGAGCTGTTCATGGCTCGGCAGGCTGACCTGGCACAGGGAAACCCGGGGGGGAACAGGGTGACCCCCGAGCAGAGGCTGTTCCTGTCCCTATCTCCTGCCCTCGAGGCCGCAGCTCCTGCCTGCCCTGCAGCTGCCAGGGAATGGGATGATCCCAAAAGCGCTCCCTCCCTCGGGCTCGTGGGACAGGATCAGTTTTGGTGGCTGTCTCTGGGCTTGTAGGATGGTTCCCTGGACACGTTCAGCCAGGGAGGAAATGCCCTCTGTCCCCGTCACCTGGACACCTCTGGCG